ACACATCAGTGTTTCCAGTGTAACATGATTCACTAAGATTGTACCCTCACTTGACTTACAAGCTTCATTCATTTTACTTTATAGTTTCCTCAGTACAACAGTTGTTTTCCAAAAAGTGCTGCTACAGCATCCAGACAAAAATCTACAGATTTGTCTCCAGTCTTGTCTTGTGACTCCAACACAACTGGTTCCTAATCCAGATGACCTGCGTGGTGGAGAATGAAGGGGCTTGGTGAAAAGAAGTGTGTTAAGGGAGGGGATGAAATTAAATGGATAATTTAAGTGGACCCTCTACTGGCCCAGCCCTCACTCAGACTGAGAACTCTGCTGCTCGGGACCCAGTTCCCTCTGCAGACAGCTGCCTGAACTGACATTTAAAGCATACCTACAGGCTTAGTCCTGCAGGACCACAGGGGCCAAAATTTGTAAAACAACTGGTCTGCTCACACATGGGAAACTAGATGCATGGGTTTTACTCAAACCATTCTTTCCATCTCCCAGGTTCCAGAAGAGTCTCCACAGGACTGCAGGAGGGAAGACTGGTCAGAATTTGCAGTAAGCCCTACTTAGTTCTCTAAGAAAACCCACATGGGTGCCAGTCCTCAGAAGAGCTGAGATTCCATGCAGGCAGCACCAGCAAAGCCCACTGAAGGTATGTGAAGTCCTACCATACCTATCCTGAGCACTATTTATGGTAAGATTTAGGTGACTTGTCACTTTGTGCACTAAGTTCCCTTGTGAAGCACTAACACCCACCACCACCACCAAGTCGTTCTGAATTTCACTGGGTGGCAAGACACCTTAAAACAAGGCTCTAACTTGTATTCCTTGAGTACCTGAAGAGGCAGCTTCTGTAACTTCTGCTGAGTAAGAGGCCTCAGGACTACCCTCAGCAATCTTATAGCATATGCTTTAAAGGAAGGCAAAAAAAAAACAACAACCCCAATTTAGAAACGTCCCCTGACGAAGAGTCTGGCACACCACTGGTTAAGTGTTCCAGGGTCCAATTACATTCCATTAAAATAGTTTGCTTAAAGCCAGAATTTGTCTGGCTTCAATTTCAAGACATTTCATCCTATTATAGCTTTGTTAGATCAAAGAATTCTCTATTATCAAACTGCTTTTCTCTATGGAAGTAATTATAGGTAGATACTCGTTTCGTAACCGTGTCTGCCTTTAAAGTGAGCTCTCTGGGGCTCATGAGGCATGTGCCTGGTTTCTGGCATACGAGCTGGATACTGCATTTGGCACTAGTGCAAGCACTACTGGAACAAAAGTCGTATTACCTCCCCATACCATTTGATATTTCCTTTTTAATGCATCCAAGAATTGCATTTGGGCAAGTGGGAGCTTATGTTCTGCTGACCATCCACCCCATCTCCCAGCTTTCTCTCGGAACACTGACTCACGGGGCAGCCTCCCGTTCTGTTTCCAGATGTAGGACTGTGCTTGGTGACAGTGAAACAGGCTGTATGAGCTGGGCATGGGCAAGAAATACCCATCAGCTCTAAAGCCCATGAACCTCAGCGTGCCTGAAAGACTTCTGAGTTGTTAGCATTTCAGACAGCTTCCCGCTGCTTCTTCAATAGCTATTAGGTAAAGATGGCTTTAGTTCTGAGGAGAAAGTGGAAGATGTTGGTCATTCTGAAAGATGAGCTCATAGAAATTTTATTTCAGATTACATCAGCAGCTAGAAGTTGTGGACAACAAGAAAATAACAGCATGTTTGCAAGTGTCTGAATTTTATCATAGAATGCTGACAAAGTATCTACATTATTTGTTTAGGGACCAAGTGGTGGTATTCCTCAGCTGTATTTTGAACTCAAATTACCTCATAAATGCTCCAAAATGTACTATTCATGCATCACGTGGATCTTGTCTCATTTCCAGTGCAAATTCTACCCTTAACTGTTGGATCGTGAGCCATTCCTGTGATTGCCTACTATGGGGCATGCCTGAGGAGCAATACCAAAGCCCTGAAAGCTAGGGTAGTCTGAAAGATAGATAGCCAGCTGGGCAGGATTACCAGCTTAAAACACAGCCACACGTCACTGTTAGTTCCCACACTGTGTGCTGACATTCTCAGTGCTTATCCAAAAGTGCATTTCAGAGGCAGGGTAAGGAAAACAAGCTGAGTACCATGAAAGCCAAGCTGTCTTTCTCCTGCCTAATGCTTTAGTGCATATGTTCCTTAAATCAAGTTTGGGACCTATGGGGCTCTCTTATCAGACAAAGGCAGTTAATCACTGCTGTGGGACTTCAAAGTTGATCTTTCATTCTCTATACCTATCATACAAAGTTACCTATCCATTTGTATGGCTTCATTATAGCCATGAAATGCTTCTCTGTTAAGAATATAGTAGAAACGTGTATGAGACACAGGGAAATGACTGAAAACCTTGTAGCAAAGTAGTGGAAAAACTACCAATACCAAAGTCAGAAGAGCTCTTCTCAGGTCTGTCAGGATAGCCCAATTTCATTGCTGCTTGTTGCAGCTCTAAGCTGAAAGGAGTTGGGCTGTGCTATTATAGGATCCAGACAGGAACTGAAGTTTCCCCATTAATAATGCAAAGTGACTATTGTATCTTCCACTGTAAGAGTTTTTCCACCTTCATCCACCAACTTTATCATAGTGGTTTTTCCTTGCAAATCATGTTTATCAGTTTATAAAAATGCCTAACAAATTCAGTACTTTATGGTTTTCACCTCACTCACTAAACCCTTCTTAACCATCTGTCAGTAGTTTAACCACTTGCACTGAATAGTTACTATTCCACTTTCACTGGACTGTTTAAGGCATTTTTTAGCTCAAGGGGACAAAGGGCTTGGTACTTTTGTATTTAGACAAGGAGCTGTGTTACTGAATTCTGGAGCTCAGCTCGGAGTAGGGGCACTACCACTTTAGGTTTCAGAGCTCAGTTGTGGCAACTATCTGCAAACTGACCCACCTGACAGCTCCTTGCCCATGTCCTAACACATTAAAAACAAAAGCAGTGGCCCAGCTGAAAATAGGAGTCTACCAGAATTGCAAAGTTGTTTTTTTAAAAAGTAGCTTTTGACAAACTTTAATAAACAAGCACTAAACTGTAACAGTTTTACTTAAACTACAGTGCAGAAATAAGCTTTTGCTCAAACTGGGAATAAAGCAAATCAATGCCAGTGCTTTTTAAATGGATATCTTTTGCTGGTGGAGGATGTAACTTGCCAGTAACAGAAGAGCGTTTCCACCGGAGCAGACAGGAGTTGCTGACCTGTTGTACCACTCTCTCGGCAGGTGAAGGCTCCTCCAGGGAAGGGCTGGCAGATGAGAGGCCTGTGTGGCAGCAGGGGCCCGTTGCCATCCCTGGGCTCTGGGCTGAGCTCCTGCCAGACCCACAGCTCACCCCCAGCCCTCTGTCTGCACACAGCTGGCGCTCCCCACTCCTGCAGCTGAAACACAGCACGGCACACCAGCACTGCACAGGTGAGTGCTTGGCTAGAATGTGGAACAGAGAGCTGCTCTGTAACTCATTTCATGTTCCCTTTGGTAAAAAATACCTGAAGATGTTCAGGGGTGGGAGTAATTAAGATCTTAAAATCGCGATCTTAACACGCCAAGAACTGATTTAGCTTTGTCTCTTGTTTACATAAGTAGTCATCTTCTCACACAGCCTCCTGGTGTACTAGTTAGCAAGTAGAAATCCTGTCCACTCCACAGCCTGCAGCTCAGTTTGTCACTGTACTTTTAATCACAACAAAACCAACTGCCACTCAAAAGCTGATCTGTTACCTACATGAATCCTTCCAAATTTTCTTCCTCCAAACGGAAGTGAAACAGAGCAGCTATATGTTGCTAATTTATACAGGGCTCTTTGAAACAGATGACTCCAGAGTTAATTGAGCAACCCCCACCTCTAGAGAAGAGGCTCACAAAAAGAGACCATTCAAGATGACACTTGTGCAAGATGGTTTTATTAACAGACAGGTTTTATTAGGAGTCTTTCAAACGAAAGACCGCAACTGGGCATATGGATCTGAAAAGGAAAAAGAAATGCATTATCACACATGTGGAGATCTGAAACTGTTTTGGCCACCCAAAGAATTAATACATTTCTGATTTACAATTTGGGCTGAAAATACTGATTTTACTGCATTTAAGACTTCAGTAGTCTTGCACATCTCCCAGTACTGAACTTGCAACAGTTTGTGCCACTAGCAGCAAGATTCCTCCACGAGTGCCAGCCTGAGTAGCACCATGTCACCCTGGCACTTCCAGCAGTCCTGCAGCAGGAAACGTCAGGACTCTGAACAGAACGTTTTTGGCTTTGAATGGCAGAGAAATCTCATCAACCCAGGAGCAGCACAGTGATAAGACAGGTTATCTGAACTAGATACTAACATCAGGACTCAGCTGTCACTGCCAAAACTGTTTTAAGTGTTCAAAAATATTGCCATTTCTAAAGGACAAACTATTCAGATGGGGAAATTAAGTCTTCCAAAATTACCAACCTGGTCATGTTAACATGAAGGTTTAAACTTAATGCTTTTGAAGCCTGTGCAAGCTGAAAATTTACACCATTAAAAATATCTAAATTGATAATTTCTTCTAGTCCTAAACAGGCTTTTCTAGCAGAAATCAGACCATCATCTGAAACAGCATGCTCACAAGCACAAGACTTTGATCATATCAAGAATTCATTAATGAGGGCTGAACATTTTAGCCAGTATATTAAGGCTTCCCATCAAAAAACCCAAATAAGGTTTTAAAACAAGTTATTAGTAAATGGAAAATAAGTTATCAGGAACGTTTATGCTCCCTAAAAACATCAACTATAATAAAGACTTACTTTCTTCACAGATGTTGGAGTTTTAGTAAGACTTTAAAAATAAAATCAGAATGCTTTATTCTCTGAGTAGCTTTACACTGGAGGGAACACCCAAGCCTGAGTGAGTATGTATTAAATCTGCATATCCAGCCAATAATGGCAGCAGCACATGGAACAGTGGATAGCATTAACCTCTGGTAGTATCTCACCATTAGTTCATCCTCCTTATGAGTCTGTTGATCTGATCTTCTCTGTTACCAGCATCCCCACCTTCCACGAAGTGGATTGTTTTCTTCTTCATTCCACCCCGAGGAGAGGATAACTTGAAGGGCCAAAGGAAGTTGTTCACAACTTTGAAGTTCTTGCCAACAGTGTAAATTTCATGGATCACATCTTCCATGCAGATGATGCCAAGCTTTCCTGAAATTCAGAAACATCATTTTCAGAAAGGCCACAGAGCCACTGGTCAACAAGCTAAAAACCATCAAGTTATTCTTGTCATACCTACTTATTTTTATAAGCTTCAGGAACTCAAAGTACCCACTGTCATGACATCCCATGACTGACTTTTCCAATTTAAATGGATTAGCTGCAGCCAACTCAATGCTATTTAGTTGAAACTGATTCCTCTTGCCAAATATAACAACTGTTTAATTCTTGTAGCTAGCAATGATGAACAAAACCAAACCCCACTCAGTGAATCTTAGGAAACAGACTCTGTGAACAGACTAATTGCTTTTACTAGCTAGTTGTTCTGACAGGCAGTTTAAAAAAAAAAATCTGTTTACCAGGTCATGAAGGTCTTAAGACACCAGCAATGTCTAATATTGAGTGCACAACTTCAGAGCTAGGTATGATAAGCTTCTTTCCTGCTGCAGCACCTTTTCATTACTGAAATATCTACTGATCTTTGAAGGTCAAGGAATTTTAAATTTTTAATTTTCAATGTAAATCTTAAAATTTGATTCTCTAGTCTGGTTTTCAGTACTTCCTAACCTAAGTTACTTCCAGCTTGCTTTGTATTAAGCTATGAAGAGAGAAGCAGAGATGATTAACCAGTCAGTACTAGTCTCCAGAGACAAGCAGGGACACTGGTCCAGCTTGGCATCAATCCCCCAAAGCCAGGAGGTGACTCCCTGAGGTGAGGCAGCTCCTACCCAGGCGTTTCTGGATCAGGGAGTTGTCCGTGAGGGCAATACGCTGCTTGTTGATCTTGCCGTAGCCACGCTTGTAGATCAGCTCATGCACAGACTTCAGATTGGGGTAACTGACAGAGTCAAAAGAAAAAAGAAAAAATAAAAGGTGTAAATTTTTGCAAGCCATATTCCAAGTCAACATCCCTATGTGAAATCTACATACAGCCATTTGACACCACTTCAGCATGTCCCAAATGTAAACACAAACCCAACGGAGAAGCGAATCTCACTCCCACCAGGTTCCCAAGAACACGGAATGAGCACAATCCTACTTAGCAAGCATCACCTTTGAAAGCACTGCCTTAATCATCACGTTTTCAACCCAAAGCACACAGAGGACAAGAGAAGACTTTGGGCACAAGGAACAGGCAGGTCCAGTGCAGCGAGGTGCAGGAGGTGTTGTGGTGAGCAGAGCCCGCCCTAGGCAGGGATCGGCGTGCGGAAGGTCTCGCGATGTAACAGAAAGCTCAGACTGCCCACGAGGGGCCTGGTGGCCGTGGCTGGGCATATATAGAAGGAATTGCAGCGACACAATAAAGGCCATTTGCAGCATCCTTCCCATGGAGCCAGTGACGGCACCCAGCGGCAGAGGCTGGCACTCACCCCCAGGCAATGTAGGGCTCCACGATGCGCAGCATGTTGATGGAGGCCTTGTTCAGCTTCACGAACGTGCCGTTGAAGATCTGGCGCAGGCGCAGCAGCTGCAGCACCTTGCGGACCTTGGGGCTGACGCCGTTGGTGCTAGGGAACACAGGGAGAGAGCCTCAGCTGTCTGCAGCCCAGAACACGCCGAGCAGCAGGCTCAGAAACCCCCACAGCAGTACTGTTCCCACGTGAAACACATCGCTGCTGCGGCAATTACACAGAGCAAGCTTAAAAATTGAGAATCTCTATATATAATTTCAGTATGAAGTCAGAACAGATTTATTCCCATGAGAAGAACTGAAATACGAATTTACTGGAACAATCTGGAACCATCTTATGCTCTCCTGGACCTAATTTTTACCATCACACCTTTTGTTAAGTTTTCCATAATTGTTTACCAAAGAAGAGTTAAACGAGCACCTCAAACAGAGCTTAGCAGAATGCGAGGGGATACTGGTGTAAAACCAAACAGCTGCATGCATCTGTTTGTAGCCTTGTCTTCTTAAGAACTAGAGACCCCTAAAGACAATAGACATAGCCACTGTAGTAATTCTGGGCTTATTTAATTAAGCCTCTGGTGTGTATACAACATATGGCCAACAACTTTCCACATGACCAGTGCAAGGTTTGATTTTACTTATTTAACCCCTCGAAACAGATAATAGAAAGCCAGTTCAGTGCTTTTTAACACAGAGTTTTTCCATGTGTTCAGCCTTACCCTCTTATCCTGATGACAAACGCCAGTTTCGGCTCTGCGGGCACGTAGTAGTTGCCAGCCTTTCGGGCCATCCTGGCCATGCGGATCTCCTGCCTGTACATGTGCCTGTACTCCTTGTGGTACGCCTGGGCTCGCGCATAGATCAGCTTCCTCTGTGCCCGGCGGTGCTGAAAGCAGCGGAGCGTCACTCAGGACTACACAATGCCCTTGCACACTGAACACCACCTCACAGAACACAGCGTGCTCTGGAGCTTCCCCGCAGCAACAGGCAAGGGAACCACCCGCTCCTGGGGAGGCTGGGATCGCCCCCAGTGACGCTCCAAGGGAGCAGGAGACTGCTGAGCAGCAGTGCTCCTCCAGCTCGAGCAGTGTCACCAGGCACCAGGCTCCCCCACGCGAGGCTGTAACCTCCTGCCTTGCTGAAGGCCAAATTCAATCTTAGAGACAACTGCACACCTTGCCCTTGCTTGTCCCAGACCCGGTTTGTTATTGACCAAAAGCCCCACAATCTTATTTTAGTCCAAAATGTTAAGGAAATATCAATGTGCTAGACTTAAATACTGTGAAGGTCTGTATTAGGTAACATCAGCAGTAATAGATGACATTGCAGCAGATGGAATTCGAGTTCAGGAGTCATGAAATAGTCACCTTTTTTATAGCCAATATCTTCTTCTGACGTTTGGCTTTTATGGCTGCATAAGCCTGCCGCTTTTTCAGCAGGCTCTCCGGTACAGTTGGCACCTTCTTGGCTCTGAACAGAGAGGAAGAAAGAAATCTCATTTAGCTGACATTAAGGAACTGGGCTTTAAACTTACACGACAAACATCAATGCAAGCTCTGGAGAGCAGGCCGCGGTG